AAAAGAGAGAACTCCTCCTGGTGTATGAGTTCATGCCCAATGGTAGCCTTGATTCTCATCTCTTCAAAGGTAAAACCTTGTTGACATGGAAGGTCAGGTACAATATTGCTCTTGGCTTGGTCTCTGCTCTGCTCTATCTTCATGAAGAGTGGGAGCAATGCGTCGTACATAGAGATATTAAATCCAGTAACGTTATGTTGGATTCTAGCTTCAAAACTAAATTAGGAGATTTTGGGTTGGCCAAGCTTGTAGAGCATGAGCAAGGGGCAGAGACAACAGAGGTGTTGGCTGGTACGAAGGGTTACATGGCTCCTGAATACACAGTTAATGGGAAAGCTAGCAAAGAATCTGATGTTTATAGCTTCGGAGTTGTTGCCTTGGAAATTGCATGTGGGAGAAGGCCTGTTGAACCATCTGCTGGACAAGGTAGAGTAATATTGGTAGATTGGGTGTGGGAGCTCTATGGAAAAGGAATGCTTCGTGAAGCAATAGACCCGAGGCTCACGAGTACAGAAGGATTTGATGAAAAGCAGGTTGAGCACTTGATGGTTGTCGGGCTCTGGTGTGCTCACCCCGACTACAATCGTCGACCTTCTATGAGGGAAGTGATGCATGTTCTTAGATTCGAAGCTCAATTGCCTGTAATCCCATCCAAGATGTCTGTACCTACTTTTGCCCTGCCACCAGACGCATCTGTACTTGAAATATCATCATCTGTAGCAGGTTCCTCCTCCAAGTCAACCATGTTCTAAACTGATGCTTCTCCTGCTTCATCGCTCTTGCATTCTTGCTAAGTTGGAGGTTACACGTATTGCTGATGCATGTATGCTATGTATGTTTGGCAGAGTTGTTTTCCCTTCTTTTTCTTTTTCTTTCTTGCTTATATTTGAATAATAATATATTATCTCTATAAATGTCAAATATTGTGGGGTTTGCTTTTGTTCTGATATTTTGTTGAGAATAATAACCTTTTTCCTTACAGATTATTCACACTAGCTAATTACTTGAAACATGAAATTATAATTAAAATATAAACACTACAATCACTACTTTTGTTATTGTACCATTGACTAGCGAGGTTGAGTGGCTTTCTGATTCAACCACTGATTGTAGTAGTTGATGCAAAGATGTTTTGGGTTTTTAAGTAGAACAAAATAGCCAAAGAAAAACCCATGCCGGCACCGTGACACTCTAGTTAGTTCTATGTTTTTTTAACATTCTAGTCCTTCATGTTTAGCATATAGAGATACAGCAAGATGATGAATGTGATTAAACATAGATATGCGTTTTACCCAATCAAAATCATGATGACGGATCAACATATGATATTACCTAAAGGATTTGTAGTTTGAAGTTTTTTACTAGGCTCTGTTGGAAATGAACAAAAATTGATGAAAAATATTCAATCATCAATAAGTGACCATTGGGTTTATTTGATTAAAAATCAAGCTTCTCAAAGAATCATTCAATCTAAAAGCTTAAGCTGTTAGGTGAGGTTCTTGAATAGGTTGATATTCTCTAACACACCCCCTCACACGAGGGGTCTATTGGACTTGAAGTATGAACAAACATAGGCCCACCCATACCTTGTGTTGAAACTTAATTAATTATAATAGGGGTAATGAGGATCAAACATTATACCATTTGGTCAAAGTGGCTCTGGTATTAATGGAGGGTGATTTAGCCTGACCTCATAGCATGGGTACACGTGGGCATGACCTTGCTCAAGCGGTTACTCAGCGTGACAGCACAACAGGCACCACTGCAACTCGGTGGGAAAGTCACACTGAGTTCAGTCCGACAAATCGGCAGGATAGACCACTCGTCGGGAGCCGCTTAGCCCGCACCTCCTCCCCGGGGCTAAGGTACTCCAAGTCGCCTCCGAGTTCGAAGCCCCCTGACCTCTCCTAATATCTGAGCTCCTCCCAGTGGACCTCAGGCCACTCTCAGACAAGAACACACCGATTCGCTGATAGGTACCTCGAGGTGAAGACACCTCGGGCTAGATAGCTCGGGCTAGACAGCTCGGGTTAGACTGCCACAGGCAGCTCGTCGCTTACAAGATAGCCCGGCACAGGGTAGCTCGCCTTGACGCAGAAGGATCTCCTGCCCAACCATCGTACCCGACAAATCTGGGGACAGCAGCCATGTCCCTCGTCAGACAACGTCGTGCCTATCACCTTTAGAGGGTGCCTTACACCCGACAGGCACGTACCCTGCGGTGATGGCCCCGCACGTGCCACCTCAGCCCTGCCAATAATGGCTGTGGCAGGTTGACAGTGGCGGTTATACCCGCCCTGTCAGAGGCCAAGGGGCCAGAGGCAACAGATTTCTATTATAAGGAGCTTAGTATCAAGGAGGACAGGAATGATCATTATCACCTTCTACACTCGCACTATCTGCACTCTTAGCCTTCATCTTCTCCTTACTTCTCCTACAGAGTACTAACTTAAGCATCGGAGTGTTCCCACCGGGCAAGCCCCTGAGGATTCTTCTTCTTCTTCATCTCAGATATCTTCCAGGAGCCACGTAAGTGCTGGCTAGGAGTGACCGGATTGCGCTACATCAAGTATCATCTCAAATAAGCATTCAATCTAAAAACTTAAGTTGTTAGGTGAGGTCCTTGAATAGGTTGATATTCTCTAACAGAGCTGAATAAATTGAAATTGAATTAACTGAAATTTTAAGAGAAAAAATTGAAAACAATTAAACTAAGTAAAAATCAAAATAACCAAACCAAATCTCTCATTCCATTATTTCAGTTAAAAATAAGTTTCACTAATATAATATTATCCCACAATAAAATTTTATTTGTTAAATTTTTAGATTTAAGAACCAAAATTGATAATTAAAGAAAGCTGAAACCGAAATTTTCGATTTGGCTTTTCAATTTCAACCAGAATATGTTAACCTGATCAACGTGGTTGGATAGAAAAAAGGAGGAATAATTGTGCATGACAATGATGTGGTAGTAGTAGTAGATATAGTAAGGGTTGATTTTTCCTATGGGACTATTTTATATTTTCTTCTTTTCCAAAAGGAAATAGATGGATCAAGTAGCGAAAAAGACCCTACTTGGACCTTCGTGTTTAAGCGAGTTTTAGATTTTAAAATTAACGTGAAAAGTTGTCCCAAATGCAAGAGAGATATCAGGGTTTTCATCAAGTTGTAAGCCAAAAGCCAAATCGAAGACATTTTGTAACAATCGGCCTTCTGCTAGTTTGTGATATGGGATTTTGGTTTATATTTTCTTAATTTAATGAAAAGAAAATAATGTATCCAATAGAAAAAAAAAAAGTAGCGAATATAGCCTTACGTGGACATCCATGTTTAAGTGAGTTATAATTGTTAGAATTAATATGAAACTTTGGTGGACAAATACAAATATGTACAATATAATGATTTTCCACTCTACATATTTGCATTTATACTCCTTTCAAATTGACCTTTTACAAACGAAAGATAGATATCAAGGTTTCAAGCTGTAAGTTGAGTTAATTTTTATCCGGGAAGGTGGTCTTACCCTCGGTCTTGCACCTAGCTAACTCGGGTTATGTCGTGGGTGTACCGGTGAGCACACAGGATAAGCACATTTAATAGAATGTTGATACTTGTCCCTTAATTAATTAAATACCTCCCAGGGCATTTTATTTTATTTTATAATATTTAACACAATACATTAATTAACAACTCACAGTCACAGATTCGAATCCGCATATCTGCTAAGGTAAGACTATCTACCAACTGACCACCACTCAGTTGGTTTCAGCAAAATGATTTAGTGGTTACTCAATGTGCTAACCAAGTGTGTGCATACAAGATCTGGTCTGACCAGCAACCTAGCTAATTAGCATCTTCAACTTGTCGATAAATTGGGTCAAGCCTATGAATTATTTAAATCCATTTTAGTTGCTTAAATTGCAATCAGACATAATTACAAATAATCAATGGGTGCACATTTATTATAATAATTAATCAAAAATCATTATTCAATAATAATTTTTAATTGTTGATTTTTAACTAATTATTATTATAATTAGTATGAATAGTAAATTAATTAATAATTATTATCATAGTAACTATTATTAATTATTCATTATTCAAAATTAATATAATTAATTATTAACAATTCATAATTCATAATTCATAATTATTAATTATTATAATAGTTAGTATTAGTTATAACTTAAATTTTATTAATTATTAATTATTAGTTGTTAATGATTATTAACTATTACATTCTTTAGTATTATTTAATAACCGATAATAATCATTATGATAATTAATTATAAATTATTAGTTAACAATAACTAATTTTTATTATTAATTATTAACTATTCATATCTATTAATTAATTAATAATTTATAAGAATTAATATAACTAATTATTAATTAATTATTATTATTGTTATAGTGATTATTATTTCTTATTAATTATTAAAAATTAGTAATTAATATTAATTTTTTATTTTTTATTTTTATTAACTATTAATTATTATATGTTAATTAATTATTAACTATTAAATTAATTAATAACGAATAATTATTAATAATTATTAAACAATACTGATTATAATTAATTATTAATTAACGTAAATTATTTATTAATAATTATGAATTTTTATTAATTAATTATTAATCATTATAACCATTTTTAATATAATTTTTATTGAATTACATAGACAAACAAAAAAATCTCATATATGGGTTTAAAATGAACATTTGACAAATTTCAAAATTCAAAATTTAGAACATTGCATTCAGAGTTCAGAGGAAAGAAAAGTTCACCAATAGCAATATACCTCTTAATGTAATTATTCCACTTTCAGATGTCAAACTTTAAAGCAAACAAATAGGCCCTAAGAGATTCAATCAAGTGTTATTTCTAAATAATAACCCATTTTAGGGATCATATTATTTGAAATGAGATTTTTTTTTTTCATTTTACATTAGTGGAGGTAACTACCACTAACCTTTTTGGGAATAGAGGTAACTACCATTTGAAGCTTTTTTTTTTTTTTTTTGAGTGGGTAGACACATGTCTAAGGAAGAAGAAATTTTTGTTTGAAAGTGAGAATAACCACCTTTAAGATGCTCTTTCTTGAGAAAATATGATGCCACTTGTACAAGGGAGAAACTCTCATCCCTCTCTCTCTTTATATACATACTAGTTGGGAACTGTGCAATGGACAGGCTTTTGTTAATAGAAATTGAAATAGAATGGACACTACTACATTCTTTAGTCTCAACATGGACATATGGGTATTGACTACAAAGGAGTAACCCATACATGTTTCCCCCCTGATTATTCTCATTTTCCTTTTGTGTTCCTTTAATAAAATATATATTTTACCAAAAATTACCTATTAACTCAACCTTGTATATTGTAGTTCAAAAATGGGTCAAAGGACCCATTAATGTCATCATTTTCACCAGAATTGAGAAAGATTACATAGCTCTGTTTGGCTGCACTGCAATTTTATTTGCACTAGTACAAATGTATGGGAGTGAAAATGAGAAAAATGCAAATTTTGATTTAATTTTATTTTGGATTTTACTTTATTCTGCTCCCAACTATATTTTACTTCATTTGTATCGCAACCAAACAAAGTAAGATGAAATTTAAAACAAAAATAAATCAAAATTCACACCCAAATCATTTGCACTACCATAGTTTTGCATGAGTGCAAATTTATTTGCACTGCAACCAAACATAGCAGGATTACATACATGCCTAAATTTCTTAAATTGATAAGAAAGATTCTTCATGGGCTCTGTTCTATTTTAAAATGGTTGTGTTTTAGCCAGATACGTTATACAAGATTCAGCAAAAAATTCCCAGTCTTGATTCGGTAGACAAAAGAATAAAAAGAACTCTTAAATATCATGTATGTTTCCTAGCTCATGAATTTTGGTCCCCTCGTCCCCATATTTACATT